CGCCGCTTCTCCCAGGGGAGCCACCTGGCGGCCCACCGGCGTGACCACGCGCCCGAGCGGCCCTTCGTCTGCCCGGACTGTGGCAAGGCCTTCCCCCACAAGCCCTACCTGGCGGCCCACCGGCGCATCCACACGGGCGAGAAGCCCTACGTCTGCCCCGACTGCGGTAAGGCCTTCAGCCAGAAGTCCAACCTGGTGTCCCACCGGCGCATCCACACGGGCGAGCGCCCCTACGCCTGCCCCGACTGCGACAGGAGCTTCAGCCAGAAGTCCAATCTCATCACCCACCGCAAGAGCCACATCCGGGACGGCGCCTTCTGCTGTGCCATCTGTGGGCAGACCTTTGACGATGAGGAGAAGCTCCTGGCCCATCAGAAGAAGCATGATATCTGAGGGCACGGGCATCATTCGGGAGGAAGCGGTGCAGTGGGGCCGCAGGGCCTGCGCTGCTGTTGGTGTAGCGAGGGCTGGAGGGGCAGGCCCTGTTAGAGAGGGGGGTCAGCCTCCACACCTTAGGCCAGGGAACCCCCTGCAGAGCACAGGGACCGGCCCAGCTGGGGTTGGCTGAGGTTCCCTCCTCGCTCTCCTGTGCCCTGGAAAAGTAGCAATAGCACCTGTACCCACCCCTTAGTGTCTGTCCTCCACTGGAGGGGCTACCGGTGGACAGGGTGACCCTTCTCTGGTGTTAACGCCTTAATGTCCCTGCCTTTTATTTTGAGCTCCTTCGGCTTGTTTTTGGAAGTAGGTGTGGTACAGTCCGTAGTAAAGAGTGCTTGGGAAGCAAAGCGGACCAGCTGGATATAGCCGGGGGGACCTGTTGGCCTTGTTAGGCAGCCCCAGGAGGTGCAGCCAAGCTGCTCAGACCCATCCCACCCCAGCCCTCCCACCTGCCCCTGCGTTGGCACCCAGTCTCGGAGAGACCCATCTGCTGTTAGTCTCGGCTCCCCTTCCTTCCTAGAGGGCAGTTCTGGTTTCTGCACAGGTCACCCCGTTTGATTTTTTAAAAAAAATATATATTTTTATTGATTTCAAAGAGGATTGGAGAGGGAGAGAGAGAGGCATCAGTGATGAGAGAGAATCATTGATTGGCTGCTTCCTGCACACCCCCTCCTGGGGATCGAGCCTGCAACCAGGGCATGTGCCCTGTCCTGGAACCTAACCATGACCTCCTGGTTCATAGGTCAACACTCAATCACTGAGCCACACCAGCCAGGCCCATCTGACTCTTTATCCACCACCCTCCCCATGCCTAGAGCACCCCCTGGCTGTCAGCAGTCCTGTGTCCAGGGCTTTGTCTAAACACCCCAATCATCTTTCACACCTTCCAGAACCCCACATGTTGTAGTAGGATTGCCTGGTGATATCGGAGGGAGATGGGGGTGAGTTCCTTTCCCACATTTCTAGTGTCTGGATGCCTAGCCTCTGCTTGAACACTTAGGTGACAGGGAGTCCCCACCTGCTGAGGCCCTGGTTCTATTGTAGGCTAATTCTAATTGTTAGAAGTTATTCCTTTTAATGAATGAAACCTGCTTTCCTATAATTTCTACCTAGTGGGCCTTGTTCTATTCTCTGGAACTAAACAGAACTACCACCCTCCTTTTCACATTAGAGAATAAAGATTTGGTTTTAGAACTGGTGGCTGAGACGTGGTCCTTTCTCCCTGGAGCTGTGGTGTTGGGAGGAGGAGGGGTATGCTGTGGGGAGGAGGACTTGGTAGCAGGCCAAGTGCCCCAATTTGAGCCCCTCTGTGCCTGCTTCCAGTTCTTCCCCAGGAAAGGCCAGGCGCACCCAGCAAGGGGCCAAGTTCTCTAGGGGTTCAGCCGTCTGTGGGTCAGGTCCGACTTGGGTGCCAGTTATTGGGGCAAAGTTCTGATTTGATTTTGTCCTGCAATGCCCCCCCTGGCTGGCCTGCTGGAGTTCCCCACATCTGTTACTCTGGATGCTTCCTGGTACTGTTGTTTCAGACAAATAAGATGGCCTATTTTTGACAGGAATCAATAGGCCCTTTTCTTGCCAGCCTTTGTAATGTCTGCACAGGTTACTGGCACCTGGCATAGTCTGGTGCATAATAATAATAATAGCCACGGTTTATGTGAGGGGCACCTGGCAAAGAAGTGTTCCTAAATTATCTTGTGCGGTAGGTACTCTTCTTTTACAGATGAATGCAGTTGCTCAAGGTCATGTACTGGTGATTGCCAGAGGTCAGCCTGACTCCTGGAACCTGTGCTTTGGCCATGGCCATGGAGGATGCTGCTGTTTTGGGTGAAGATAAGTATTCATTGCCTACTGTGTGCTTGATGTTGGGGTGGAAACAGAGGGTTTACAAAGATAAGCCCCAATTTTCCCCCTTAGAAGGCCCAAGTTTGGGGTAGACATGTATGTGTACGCAAATAATGAGTATAGAGAGATGGACATGAGGGTGCGTGGGGCTCCAAGTGAAGGAAGCAGGCAGCTTCAATGCTTCACATTGGCTTACGGGGTTATGGGGCCACTTAAAAGCCTGTGTCGTTGATGATGGCAAATTAGCTTTCAGAACCTGGGGGCAGTGTGTCAAAGTCTCACCTAAATATGTTTAAGAGAGCTGAGGGCTTCAAGGGAGGGGAGCAGTGCTTTATGGTGGGGGTGCGGGTGGGGGAAAGGGGGAGGAGTATCAGGAAAGTAGGTAGATGGAGTGAAGGTTAGGGAGCAGGAGACAGATCCTCAGGCATCTAGGGTTATTAGGGGGGGAGGGGGCGGGGGAGAATCAGAGAAAAGGTGAGGGAGAGGGGATCTGACCAGGGGATCTGACTTTTTGAAAACTTAACCTCTAAAGAAAACGCCTGGTATGTGGGGAAGACGAGCATCGAAAGTCCTCTACTGCTCTGCTGGCCACTGCTTTTGGGTAGAGGTGGTGAGGAGGGCCAAGCAAGGGTCAGGGAACGCCACTGAAGTAGCTCGAGCGGGCTGGTAGGGCAGGATAGAGCGAACTGGCCCCTAGAGTCCTGCAGGGGACCCCGTGGGCCCCAAGCCCTCGCTCAGCATGGCCCATGCTGCCAGCCGTCTTGAAGGAGGAACTGCCGGGGTTGGATGGTCCTCGCTCTGCTGACAGGAGCTGCCCTTCTGTTCTGAAGAGCCTTGGGCTGTTTCTGTTTTCTTCCACGATCACAGAATTATTCAATTATCTTGTCAAAATTAAACAATGCAGATATACTCAGATATATTTTTTTCATGTGGAAGTCCTTCATTCCCTCTCTTCTACCCTGTACATCTTACTCCATGAAGGGACTTGGAGGGCAGCGCCTTCCAGAACACTTTTCTGTGCATTTGCAGATATGAACATGTAGCCTCCTTTTTTACTTTATGGAAAGAGGACCCAGCTGTGCTTCATTCTTTCTACCCTCTAGATACCCTTGGTCATGAAGTGTCAATCTGGAGGAAGTCTCTCGCTCTGTAGAGGAGGAAACAGGCCCAGAGGGTGGCTGTGACTGTCCCACTTGAACCCAGTAGCAGATAGGGAACTAGAACACGAATCCCCAAGCCTTCGCCAGGTGTTCTAGAAAATAAAGAGATGAATGAGACTCTACAGAGTTGATGGCCTAGTGATGCCTGGCTTCCGTGTGGGGTTTTACTATAGCTTCTATGGATGATAGAACCAATTAGGGCCCTGCAAAAATCCAGCAAGGTGTGTGTGCAACTCTTGTACAGACAAGAAAGTGAAAATCCAGAGACAGAATGTGTCTTTTGTAAAAAACGCACACACAGTTTGTGGTCAGACTTTGCTAGAACCTTGGTCGCCGGTTTCTATTGTGCGAAGAGGCTAACCAGCAGCTGGGCCCGGGGCAGATGCCTCGCAGGCAGCTGCTGCCATTCCCAGAAGAGGCCGCCGGCCGCCGAGCAGGAGGGTTTGCAGGAAGCCGCAGCCCCGTTCCTGTTGGTAGCAACCTCCGTCCCAAAGGCGGTTTCTAAGCGGCTCCCGAGAGCACCTGCCCGTGGGAGCGGACGTGCCTGGCTCCCGGTGAGTAATTTCGACACCAAGGAGCGCTTCCAGTCCGGGGGGAGGAGAGGAAAGTCTTCCTGAAGGTTCCCGGGAACAGAAGACCCTCCCTGGCCACCCGGACCCGCCTCTAAAGCAGCGGGGACAGTCGATCCCAGGTGGCTGTTTCCTCCACCCGCAGCCGGGGGTTGGGTTGAATGAGACTTCGGGACCGCTGGTCGCGCCCACGGCGTGCAGGGCCGCGCGGGTGCGGAGGGCGATTTCTCTCCCGTCACACGAGGCACGCACATCGCGCTCACGCCTGGTGCCCGCACCACCGCCACGGCACACGCACACACGTGTGT